ATGGGACGTCCCGTGGTTTACTCAACTGGAAACATGTCTTCTGAGCATGAAGCAATGCCTGCAGCGTTGTTTTAGATTATTTATGGTTGGAAAAAGTCCTATTAATAAATCAATAAAATAATTAATTAAATTAAGATAAAACTGAAATTATGAATCAACTGGTGTAAAGATTGTCTTTCTAAGATCTGCTGAGACCCACTGATGACTTTTCAACTTTAAACCGTGAGGCTGTTTTCTAAATTTTCACTGTCAATGACTGATAATTAGTTATAAAACAACAGTTTTGTTGTAGTTGGCCTTGGAATTAAAATCAAGTTGCACTGCTTTGAAAAAGGTTGAAATGGAAGAAAATATATCCATTTGTTAGTATCAAACATAATATTTTCCTGTTTGTAAGGACAGAAGTAGTAAGAACGTTTTTCAGAACTGTATCACTGAATCAGAGGGAAGTGCTGTTTGGCCTGGGATTAAAAAAAGATCATACAAATACTCTGTGCAGATCTGTTCTACCTCCAGTTCCTTAATATTTTTCTCTGCAACAATATGGCTCCTAATGTTGGATGCCATTACAACAACATATCTATAGCTCCATTGAAGGAGATCCCATGGGAAATCTCTGGAGCCCTAAGAAGAAAATAAAAACAACCACATTGTACCCAACCCAAATCTGGTGAAGCCTACATTGCTTCACCGTAGTTCTTTCATCAAATACCTGCTTGAACACACTGACAAGCATAACTTTGTCAGGCTTTATGTCCGTGTGTAGAAAACCGAGACAATGTAAGGGGTCCAACACTTCCAGTGCCCCTCTAACGAAACAATGAACTTTTAAACAGTATTAAAGAACCTGTACAAGAGAAATTTTTAACTACACACACATGCACACACCCCTTTCTGTCATCTCATTCATCTCCCTCCCTCAGGATGAGGCTGACCTCCTTACAACACAACAAGCACTTCTCCAGATGTGCACCTCCTCTGACACCGCAGCTGTCCACCAAGCCCCACAGCTCGCACATGTCCCTGCTTCTGACTGTGTGAGTCAGTCAGCATCTTGTGCTTAAAAAAACAATAATCGTGATTAGCACTGGGAGGTAAAAGTTCAGAATAAGCATTCTACGAGGTATTAAGTATCAGAGCTGTGGGACTATCCCATACAGCATCCAAGTAAATGTGTACGACGTTTCGCAATCTGTTTGGTGCGGTCATACAAATATTCATTTAACATTAATCACACAAAACACTTGAATGTGCTGTCAGAATGTTTTAGATGTCTTGAGTAAGCGTTGCAAAGATTTTAAAAATGTAAAATGAACCTGTGAGAAAGTGCAAATATTCCAGCTTGGAAAAATAATCTAACTAAAAAGTCCAAGAATATCCCGCAAGAAGTGTTTACTGGATACCTTTGGAAACACCCGTCAGTGGTTCCTCGATGGTGTCAAGAGGACGAGATCTTGTCTACTTCTGTAACTGAAACCAACCATCTGACTTCATGCAGTGATTGTCCCGCTGTGAGGAGGTGAAGAAGGAGCCATATTTTAATGTGCTTGGACATGCACGTATATTGTACAAGGTACTTTCCTTCAACCATCACTCTGTCAACGAGGCGTCTTGCTTCTGCTAAAGACATTCAGAACTGATGTGAAATCAGTTGATCCTCAGTGAAGTTTGAGGCTGACAGTTTTTAAAATTTACTTCAACCACATCTGCAAGGCCAACTGCGTTGGCAAGGTAGTTTCTTTACTCACCAAGAGCCAGTTGTAGGTATCCACATTTACTGTGTTTCCAACCATTAGTGAAAAAAAATCTAAAGAGAAAATTAAAAATATCTCTAAGAAAAAAAAGCCATCAAGTGCGATCCCGCCTTCAAAAATGTCACAACTCAATTCAAATCCTCAATCATTTCTAACTCAAGAGAATAATGAATCAGGTTTAGTATTTTTCATTTCAGGTGGCAGAATCAAGTTTCTCAGTTATAAAAAAAAAATCTATATCCTTCAGCTGCAGCCAAGCTTACCTGTGGAGTTCCCCAAGGGTCCAACCTTGGCCCAGTTGTGTTCTCATTTCACGTGCTGCCTTTAGTATGAATGTATAGATTGGTCATCTGTTTCTTTTACATTTGCTGCTCTTTTAACAAAACAGAGAAAACATTTCAGTATTGATCACTCTGTTGACTTCCTGCTCGTTGAAACATTGATGGACTTTTAACTTCTTTCATCCTGTGCTCAGACCTTGTTGAGGTCCAAAATACTGTTGAATAAAGACCCAACTCTTCAGTTCTATTAGTGCTTACTGGCTTGAATTTAACCTAATTGTGTGTTCTTTAGATTTTTATATAATTTATATTCATATTTTATTTAATTCTATTTAGTTTATCTGCTATGGATTACTGCAGGTATAAAATGAAAGAATAGATGTTTTCCCCAGGTTTCATTCCTCCAGATGCTGACAAGACCAGTTCTGGTCAAACTGGAAAAGCTGCTCGTATATTAGGTAAACATGCATCACCCTCACGTCTGGGATGGGCGAAAAATACACAGTGTGGTCCGGATTTTAAGGAGAGGTTCAGCAGCTGTTGTAAAGAAGCCATGATTTTCCTCTACTCACCCACTTTCACTAAATGCTAACCTCTTATTGATTTATTTAAAAAAAAATCAAACACCTGAAGCAAGTATAAGCTTTCACATGCTGGACTTGTTTCCAGCATAGCAATGTCATCAAAAACTGTTGCTAAACATCTGAAAGATCAATAGACACCTGGGTCCTCATTTAAGAAACGTTAGTAGAAACTGTCCTATATTCCTCCATATCAATGCCATTTGGGATGTGTGTGTAGGAACGGTCAAAACCCTGATTTATGAAACATGAGGTGGCCTCTTGTACGCATGTTCCTATTCAATCGTCTGGTGGTAAATCCCACCTGTGTGTACCCAGGTGCTCGGGTCTGTTCACAGTCATTTACTATGTAGCCCTCAATAAACCATATTTGGTCATGCAACGTCCTCAGCACACTAGGGAATGCCCTGGGTCCAATTCCCCCCACCAAAAATCCCAAAAACTTTATTGACAGCGAAATCAAGACACTGGCTGTCAAATTGCAAAAGAACCAAACAAGTTGTAGAGGTTATAAATGCTGTTGGGTCAGAAGAGAGGTTCCCGTCAGGAATAAATGAACTGAATATGATTAACCGAAGAGTAACGGGTTCTCATTTACATTTAAGGAGTCGTTCTGTTTGGAGTTAGTTTCATTTGGAAATGTTGTCTTAGGGTGCAGCATCTCCTGAGCTGTCATTCAGCCTGGTTACCTTGACAACGTGGCATGTGTGATCAGGGAGCAGATGAGGTTCTGGGGGGTTCTCGTAGTTGTAAAACAAAATATGAACAGGAATCGGATTGATATGGTTTATCTGTTGCTCCACAAAGGCTCCCAAATCTCAGCACAGCTGAAGAAGGATCTGCTTCAGGGAGATCTGTGCGCTCACGGAGGACGCGTTCCCTCCAGGGTGCACGCTCTGCCAAGTCCTCCAACACAGATCAGCCATGATATAATGTCAGAGTCCTGTAGGTCACATGTGTCTTTTCTAGGTTTTAGCACCAATTATGCAAAAAAGCTGTTTTTCCACTGCCGTAATTATCTATTGGGTAAAACGATTTATGGATAAGGAACATGTGTGGACGACTGAGACCTTCAGTACTGCGGTTCCACCGTTCTACCACTAGATGCTGTTCGTACGCATGGTCAGAGCTGTTCTTATACTTAGGAACATTTCTACACAAGTACAAATGGGTAAATACCACACAATGCATAAAATTGATCCTACGCACAGATCTGTTTGTCAGTAAGGTTGATAAATGAGGGCCCTGGAGAGGTCCTGTTCTGTCACGTCCGAATCATCCGTTGTCCATACTTGCGGGGTCATGGCGGCTGGTGCCTATCTCCATCAGTCTCCAGGCAAACAGGCGGGTTACACCCTGGAAAGGTTGTCAGTCCATCGCAGGGCAACAGAGAGACAAACGGGACAAACAACCATGCAAACACATCACACCTAAGGAGTGCTAACCGCTGCTTCACTGTGTGGCCCCTCATCTGGTGCAGCTAATCTGCAACTGGTTTGTTGAGCAACGTGGGTCGAATCGTGCTCTGAAGAAGACCAAAAAGGGACTTTGAAATGAGACATAAAATGCTTGCTGTGTCAAAAGCTATCAATTTTAGTAGACACAACTAAAGTTTCCAAACTGATGTGATCGTTCACATTAGAGGTGTGTTTATACAGTGTTGAGACATCAAAGTTTAAAGTTTTTAAGCGATTTTCCACAAAGCTAATCTGATTTTGATTCATTTCCTAAAACATGTTGGTTTGACGAATGTCCAACTCACCATAGTTCTATAATGGACCAAACCAAGATATTTCAATGAGGATCGTACACAAGTCAGAACATGTTGTTTATCAGCTCTTGTGCTGCCCAGGTTCAGCTCTCCGTAACAGAATCCAGTTTGTGCTGAGTCCTGAACTCAACCCATCTGTGTTTGGGTGTAAAACCGCTTTGATGTGTTTGCACATCTGCACGTGTGTTTGTGTGTCCAAGTGCACGTGGAAACATTAAAGAGCAAACAAAGTCTGTGTTCTTGCCCTAAAGTGCCTGAAATGTGTGTATTTGAATGAAGACAAGGAAATGAACAAAAGCAATTTAATTTAAAATCGGAAACATCTGTGTGAAGTTTCAAAAGATAATTAATTTGTTTACTTCGGCATTTTGTGATGAGTTACTGTTAAAAAGAAAATGTTTTTAGATTTCACGTTTTTATAAGGTTTGTGGTTCTCTTCATGTGAATAGTCTCTGAGTCACAACTCAACTTCCTCCAACTTACCCATACTCAGTTTAGTTAAAGGAATAAATGAATCATACAGGGTCTATAGAAATGCCAAGGTTACCCAGAGGAAAAAGAAAGTCAGAAAAAGTGCTTTTCAGTATTGTTTAGTCAAGAATAAAAATAATTGTTTTTATTTAAAAAAACGAGATCGATTTTTTATTTTTAGTGGAAAAAAACAAATAAAACAAATTAATTTACAAAGAAATTAGACATACAAACTTTTAAATAAAAAAGAAAGGTTTATGTCCTTTTACCCCAAACTTTATTATTCATGAATAAAACGTATAGGAATGTTTCCCCTTTGCTGCCATCTATAGGGGATGTAAAGGTATTGATGGTGGATCTAAACACTCCATCCCAGTACCAGAATTTACCATTAATTCAGTTATTTGACACCACTACCCAAACCTAACCATAATACAGTTTTCAATGAAAATATGCCACAAAAACTGTTAAATCTTCTTTTTGGTCAAATGTCATATTTCATAACCAAACCTTTGATGTTGTTGATTTCAAGAAATGTTTAAAAAGCGTATAAACAAACTTAAAACAAAAATATGCAGACTGAAACCACAATGTGTATCAGTCATTTACATATATAAAAAACACACAAAACACTCATCTTAAATAAATAGTATAGAGCAGGAGTAAGCTTCAACATTAAGACATTCATTTACATGCAGGGGGCGGGGCTTGAACCTTGTACTGCAGCCTGCCACTAGAGGGTTATTTTTTTTATTAGATTTGAGCTAACACATTCAATTTCTGTGTTTTGGTAAAATATTTATCTAAGTTAAGATACAATACCACAATAGAGTCCTAGATGAGTATTTTAGCTTTGTCGATGGATGAGGTGATGATGCTTTCAGCCAGTTGGTGAGCCAGGAGATGAAGATCCCTTTCATCTGTGATCTGCTTCTCGCTTTGCTCTTTCCAAACCCAGTTCATGATATCATGAGACAAATCTTCAGCAAAGGACTCTAGATTGGCTGCTTGCTGCTGAACTGCGTCCAAACCATCTGCTGCCAGTCCGATTGAAGACAGTGAATGCATCAGATTCTCCATCAGTTCCTCCTGAGGGTCAACGTCTGAGTTTTTGTCTTTAGGAGTTGGAGGAGGAGGAGAAGGCAGGAAAACCTTCGCCAAGCCTCCCTTGAGCTTTCGAGCAAAGCTGTGTCTGCTCCTTTCGAGCTCGGGGATGAGTGGGGTGGTTGGAGGAGCGTCTGGGTAGTCGAGGGATCCGACAACAGGAAGTCCTGACTGGGACAAGGGTGGATGGGAGGATTGAGCATCTCTTGAAGTCTCTTTTCTACCTTCTTCTTGATCTGCTTTTACACAAGCTGACGTCGAATCTCGTAGGCAATCCTCAGCGCTGGGAGGAGAACCCACTTCCCTAAATGCACCCTCCATTATAGTTGATGCTAACTTCTCAGACAGCACATCTAAGTTTGCATTTGCATGGGACGCCTCGGGCTCCAAATTTTGCATTGAGTTGATTATGTTCTCAGCCATACTTTGTGCAAATTTTCCAAGAGCCTCAGCGTTTAGAGAGCTTGTTTCGCCAAGACCTTCCATAATGGGTCCTGGCAACCTTGGATCTGAACCTTCCGTCTGCATTGGATCCTGTGAGGAGAACAAGATAGCTCAAATGTAAGAAATGCTGTTTTTTTTTCACTGCACATTAGGATGAATAAGGAGAAGGAAATTAGGAAAAATGTGTAAATGGACCAAACTGCTTCCCTGCTCCAATAATTATTTCTCGCATTTGAAACTCATCAACAAGTTGAGTTAGAGCCAGGCAAATTCAAACTCATTTCTCTTCAGTTCCTGATCTTTTGCTTGTTTTGGACAAATCTGATGAACCACAAACCAAATGAGTATGCTGGGGATGTTTAAAATGACACTTAGTGGGGGTTTTGCTAAAACAGAGACACGATAGAGCAGCAGAAACGAAGGAAAGTCCCGCTTGTAGCCTGAGATTGAACGCAAGATGGAGGCCTCGACCACAGCCTGTTAACATATGAGCTGTCAGCCCATCAGAAAGTGACAGGAAGGAAGTTCAGTTCAGAATTACATCAGCCCAAAGAGCCTTGCTGGCTTCGAGAATGGTGAGCTGTCTCTAATCTAAGTTCTGAAATCTGTAGCTCATGCAGACGGAACTTAATCTGAAAGTGAAGTCGGCAAAAAAGCCATGAGTTGAAGTGAATGTCCCACATGAGCTTTTTTCTGAATATTTGGTTTTTAATTTTAGAATAATAAGAGTAACTGGACAAACTTCCTGCTGTTTAGATTTAGAAGTACCACATTTTCTAGCTTGACATCATTTTTGCTCACTAAGGTGTTTATTATCGGGCAGCATGGTGTCGCAGTGGGTAGCACTGTTGGCTCACAGCAAGAAGGTTGCTGGGTTAGGGTCAGATCCCGGCTGCAGCCCTTCTTCGTGGAGTTAGCATGTTCTCTAGGTATACTCTGGTGTCCTCCCACGGGACAAAAGCATTCATGTTTGGTTAATTGGCAACTCAAGTTGTCCTTCTGGATTCTGGATTGTAAAGGCCAAAGACCCCTACCCTAACGATATCTTAGACATTGTTAGCAGTGGTTTTGCATATCAGTTCACTTCTACATTTAAGCATAATACTGGTAACGATACTTGTGGCTTCCATTGTGCTTTATTAGAACTGGACTCAACCGGGGCTAAACACCAGCATGTGCAATGTTTTCAACTGGCTGAACGTCTTTAACCCTCCCACTGTCCTAATGGGTGTGACCCCGCAAGGAAAGTTGACCATTGAGCAGGGTTGGTGGTTTATCCCTTGAGTCAATGTGGCAGGGGTGAGGAGAGAGCACCACCTCACCCCTGCCACGTGGACCTCAAGGGATAAACCATCAATCCTGCTCAATGGTCAACTTTCCTCGCGGAGTCACACCCATTAGGGCAATGGGAACTTTAAAACCTAATAAAGGTAACTAGAATTAAAAGCTTTTAATCAAGCATGGAAACAATATTCCTGAAGCAAAAGTGAACTGATATAAAGCTTATGTTTGGTTTACGAAAGTTATTACCAGCTCTGGGAAAAACACAGTTCTGGTCCTTTAATATTTTATTAGCAAAGCGTAATTTCCTACTTGAACACACCTTCGACTGCATCGGCATTCAGCCAACGCAAACAGACCCATCCTTGACAAGTAGCCCACATAAAGAGCTGCTTCTGCTGTTAGGCTCTAAAAACTGAAAGGAAACCCAGAGCAGATATACGGCGGAGGGCTTAGGATGTTATTTTGACTGTCAACACTGACTGCTACATTACTTCATCCAGTTCAAGGCCAGTTTAGTGGGTGACTCACGCGAGACTGTGCCTGAAGACAGAGATCAGTAACAACAGTGCTTGTCATGGCATAAACACGAACAAATGAAAGTAAAAACCAAGTCACAACAAAGGTAAATTTTAAATGTGTGAATAAGTCATTCGTCTTTTCAGATTTGGAGCTTTCTTTTGCTCTTTTTCTGATAATCAGGACAAAAATCTATCAAAAAAGTGTTTATTTAAATAAAGACAATCAAAGTTTCTAAAGATCCAACAGTAATTGATTCGCTGTTAAAAGTGATATGTTGGTATTTATTAAAGGGGCACATATTGTGACTTTTTTTTTTGTAAGTTAAAATAGTTCTATGGTCGATACTAAACATGCTTATGAAGTTTGTTGCACTGAATTTATTTTACATAAAGTGATTTCAGCAATTTTCATCTTGACATTTTCGGTACCTTCCAGAATGAGCCATTCTAGGACTGTCGCTTTAAAAACAACAAGCTGTAGCTGGCCACGCCCACCCATCCTCCACTAAGGCTGCTATAAGATGAGAAGCTCCGATATCTGGAAATAACTCGAAGCAGCTGTTTTTTGCCATTCTAATTTCCGGGCTTGTGACATCACAAATAGGGACTATTTGAAACAGGTTGTTTTAGGCACATGATTCCTAGGACCAAACACTGACAGAAAACAGATGCGTTTTTTTTCTCTCCACATTTGAAGTATTTGTAGGGGCAGCAGAGACCCACTTGGCAGGACAAAAGGGTGGAATTTGTAAGTTTTGCACAACATGTCCCGTTTAAGATGTAATTCAGTGTAAATGTAGTTAATAATTAATATTGTATCTGTCAAAATGTCTCTGTTTGGATAAATGGCTTGTCTTGAAGGATTGGTGAGCTAAAGGCTAGACCAAGCATCCAACCAAGAGCAGGTTTATGAAAATGGTATAAATTATTGTTTGCATGAACCACTGTGAAAACTGTTCAACCATTTGTAGATTACTATTGTGAATTTGTATGTAACCAATATGAAATTTCAAAGATTTGAGCTGTTGTATTAAATGTTGACTATGGAACACGGACAATCTGGCGATCTCTGGTGTTCAGATGTGGCATTGCAACAACAGGACTAATCTTTCAGCCGCTGGGATGTTGGTTCACTGCTGACATGTTCCAATACCATGTTCAATGACAAATCGTACACAATAAGGACTAATTTCTACAAATAAGTTTATTTTACAACAGTATTCACCGTTAGAACATCTTTTGGGCTCAGAATCAGCTGTTTGACTTGCAAGTCCGCCATTTTACACAGTCCCAGCCCCGCCTTGCTGAGCAGACTTTTTAGTGCAGCGGTGCCCTCTAGTGGCTGGTAGATGTAAACATAAACACAGTGTCGTGCCCGACAGAATAAAAATTTGATTATTTATCTTTTTAAATACTGCTTTAAAAGGAAAACTGTATATTCCTTCTGCACACCTCTGAATGCACCGTGGAGGTATTATTATTTTTAAAATATTGCTTTTTATTAAAATATTCCATATTCTAACTTTAACAGAATGGTTTATTTTTTTGGCTGTCTAGAGTCTAGACTATTAGCTCATCAGTCGTGCTGGATGTGAATTCTATTTCTCTAGACAAAAGTCTTTCAGAAAGATCTAGAACAGGAAAAATTATTTATGCCTTTATACCCAAAAACCATCAAAAATAAATGAAAAAAACTTTTATGGTTTGAGTTAGGAGCCATTTTACTTCTGAGTAATTTATTGGTCAGATTTAAGTGCTGCGATGGTGGCAGAGGAGTTAAGTGCCGGCCCCGCAACCAGAGGGTTGCAGGTTCAAACATCGTCTCTTGCAGTCTCCTTGGGCAAGACACCTAACCGCCTTGCTGTGTTGTTCGGAGAGACTGGTGGCGCCAGTCGACAACAGCCTCACCTCTGTCAGTGCAGCCCAGGTTGTCATCACCAGCAGCATGTGAATGTGTGTGGGTGAATGACTATTTGTGTGGTACAGCACCTTGGGGGTTGTAGATTCCTAGCAGGCCATTTAGGTGACAAACAACAAAACATTTCACAGCCCAGTTAAAAAAATTAGTTTTCCAATTAAATTCTGAAATCATATGGCTGTAGTCGCATCATATCGTATCATCTCCTTACTCTTGTGACATATATGGTACGGCCAGATTCCTGCCAGAACACACCCCTTTTAACAAGGTACTAAAAGTAAACCTGGCACAGATAACAACCTCCCCATCTTCCATAATTTTGTCAAAGTAACTAAAGTTTCACAATCGATTAATGAACATCAGAAATAAACATTTAAAACACAATCAACCATTTTAGGTCTCTAAATAATCCAAAATACTGATTGTTCTCCACAATCTCTACTAATGGGCTGCATGGTGGCGCAGTGGTTAGCACTGTTGCCTCGCAGCACGAAGGCTGCAAGTTCGAAACTCGGCTACGGCCTTTCTGCGTGGAGTTGCGTGTTCTCCCCATGCATGCGTGGGTTTCCTCCGGGTACTCCGGTTTCCCCCACAGATCACAACATGCCCTATAGGTTATAAATTGTAAGTTGCTTTGGATAAAAGCATCTGCCAAATAAATAAACATAAACATAAACATAATGGCTGAATTCCAGACGTTTGTAATGATGTGCTACTTTACAGTTACTTTATCTGTACATGTGTGTGTTTTCAGAATCAGCAGAAAAGCCAAGATCAAGAACGAAATGCAGATGTGGAGCAAATTACAGTGAGAACAAAGAATGTTTGACTCTTGGCGATGGACATTCTGATGGTCAGAGGAGTGGTGTGTGAGCCGAGGACACCTCTTCAGCTCATTACACAACCCCATACAACGTGTGCCAATTGTGAACATCATCACTAATTTGACCACATTAGGAAATTCTACCCAAGGTTTAGGGAAACTGAAAATTTCTGTATCAATAGCTGGCACAAAGTTAAGGTTGTTACGCAAGTATTTCGTGGAATATTTCATGCCGCATTTGACCTTTTCTTTCTTTTTAAGACAAATTTAAAGATACAAGCTTCAGTGAGAAACTGTTTGGCTTTTTTAAGGACGCTGTAAGCTTTTACATACAGAAGAGTTATTACAACAAAGGTTTGCCAAACTAAAATGTGACAAATGAACTCATTTTTTTTAGTATTTATTAGGTATAGCAGCTTAAAAGGTCAGCTTCTGATGTGTAATGAAGGCTGGTGAGACAGGAGTTGAACCAGATGGAAAAAATGGAAAAATAAAGTAAAGCAGGCTCAAGGAAGCGTGAGGCGACCTGAACAGACCAACTTACCAAAGTCACTGCTGCTGTTTTCTGCCTCCAGTGCAAGTGAGCTACATGAGAAAGGGTACGACACAAGTGATTCTCACTTCCTGTATGTATTTTAGTGTGTGGGTGGAGTCTCCTGCAGAAGTTTACATTACTGATGAAAATGAGGCAGTGACAAGGCAGCTTAAAACGAATCTGTGGGCTTGATTATTTCTACTTGTAGGAGTCAAAAACAATTAAAAGGGGGATGAAATGAGAGTAAGAATAGATAGAAAAAAATGTATTATCAATTAAACACCATGGAGATGGTTTTGGATGAAAATTCCAGTAGAGCCGAAGCTCAGACCAGCCTGTCTGGCACCATCAACCTCACAAAACCCAGTAACTCCTCTTCCTCCTTTTTTCTGATGCCTGGTTAGAACTCTAGAAGGTCGTCTTCGCCTTGTCTAGATACCTAAATAGTGCCATCTGACTGACTAATTGAACAGGTGTACCTAATAAACGGGACAGTAAAATGTTAGGTAATATAATAAACATAATTTGCAGTTGCTGCCTGTAAAACTTAAATTCATCACCCAGTGGATAAATATTTGATACTAACCATGCCAAAGAGGCAGAAACCAATAAAGATTGGATATATTTCAACGTGTGCTTCAACATATGAAAAACATTTCTTTTTTTAGTCATGATTGACTGCAAAAAAAAAAAAAAAAACAGAACTGCAAACATGATCATGCAAATGTTTTGTGGTCATTTTAAAAAAGTAAAGATCACCTGACTGCTGAAATGTCAAAGCAAAATTATTTTCTCTCAAAAAAATCCACTCTAGGGTACAAAATGAATTAATCTGATGTCAGTGGTTCAGATGTTGTACTGTGTCTAGTAGAATCTTTAAGTTTAGGAGAAAATGCTAAAGAGCAACAAACTCCCTAAAGTGTGCTGCCCTCTAGTGGCAGCTTTTGGTAGTTTAGTGTGCTTTAAATACTGAAAGCAACTAACATTACCTCTCATCTATTGTTGTTTAAAGATAAAGCAGAAATTGGTCAAATCTGCCAAGCTTGACCCTCAAAAGGATGTATATTGAATTAATTATTGGTTGTCGATTACCTGTTCAGTTCCAGCTCATTAAGTGCCGTGTGTACTTTTGAGATGTTAAACTTCATACTTTGCAGATTTTTTTTAAATGTTTTTTGTGAGAATGTTGAAACTCTAAAGCCACAATAAACAAAACTAGCTGTGTAATCGTTGGTTAGCATGGAGGAATTATTTTTCCTTCTGTAAGAGTGAGATGAAGATGAAACAGGAGATACTGTTGATGAAATTGTTCAGCCTGGCTGATTTAGCATAACTCTCCTTGAACTTCGACTTCAGCTCCAAGCGCCCCCACCCACCTGTTTGGATGTCCTAGCAGCTTCAACCAAAGGAGCGATAAAAGCTGGAAAAGCAGCATTTGTGCTTTTTGGCCCAGGCAGCCCACTGGTGTGGGTGGGGGATTAAGGAAGTGGACTGTGTGTGATGATATCTCTCTGTGGACTTAAACTGAGTCCAGATTTTACTGGGTGAACGGCAAGCCTTTGAGCTGCTTTGAAATATTCAATTAGACGGAGAAAATGGGAAGCAAATAAATGGAAGACGCCAAGGTTTTTCTTCTTAAGCATGTCTGTGTGCTTTGAGCTGGAATGAAGCAAAACCTGTGGAATGTTTGCCTGTTTAGAAAGAGGGAATGGTGCCTTTAATAATGTGACTGGTTACGTTTCCAAGTAATGGGAGGTAGGGATAGACCAATATATCGGCTGACCAATATATCGATATATTGGTCGATACATCAGTATATCGATACATCTGTCGACCGATATATTGGGTCAACTTTTGCGTTTTTTGTAATAAAGCCGTATCAGGAAATACCTCTTTAGTATAGCCAAATTAAAGTCAGGCACACAAGCAGGCAGCCTAGTGCTGCTGCCAAATGTACTTAAATTCCTGAAAAACACCTGCTTAACGAATCTACTGACATTTATTTTCATTTAGTAAGGATGAAAATTTCCTCTTTAACAGACAAGGGTGTATGTTGGAAAACAGAAAGAGATCTTTGCTTTTACCTGACGGTTTCAGCTTTTTCCTTGAATCCTTCCTCACAAGCTGTCATCTATTGGGGAGACGGCGCAGTGTATTTCGGGTATGCGCTATGTGGGAGAGGTGCGCTCAGATCTGACAGGTCCGCATTGACAACCACGCCCATGTGAGCTGAGTGTAGTCCTGAGAAGTGAGTCCCAGGTTCTAGACAGTGCATTTGTTTTTATTCACCTGTTTTATATTAAAAACGTGGTCAGTTTATTGATTTGTTTGATTGACTTTGGTTAACGTTTGATGTTAATGTTTTTCAGTGCACAGAATGAAGATTCAAGAGTTGGTTCAGAGTTCCAAAACTGATTAGGTTCAAAATGTGGTACATCCGCTGCTTTAGCGTAGAAACATTTATATCAGTGTACATACCATATGTGCTAAGGATACCAGACTGGCTCAGGAGCCAGCACCTGTTGATTACGTAACACTACAAGATTGGTTGGACGTTGCTAGCCTGACCAACCAGCCACATGCTTTCCATATGCTTCCAACCTACTGGTTGTGCAGACTCAGCGCACCAGGCTAAAGACCAAAGGTGACAGATCATTTGCTGCTGTGGCCCCAGACTCTGGACCTCTCTCCCCCTGAGCCTAAGATCGGTGAACTCAGTGGTTTCCTTTAAAAAGCAGCTGAAAACTCACCTTGGTGTGACCTTCATTACCGCCCTCTCCGAATTCTGCTCTTATTCCGCCTTTCCCGGGATCCATTGATTTTCCTCTTTCCTATTAATTTTCTCTCTCCCTTTCCTGATATTTGTTTTCTTTTCTCCTTTTAAACATATTTTTAATCATTTAAAAAATCTTTTTATACTTGAATTTTTTTTTGTTTTTATGAAGCGCCTCGTGATTTTTATCTCGAGAGGTGCTGTATAAAAAATCATCTTCTTATGTGAAGCATCGGGTCTGGGAACTCTCCTATTCAAATAACCCCACCCCCTGACAGTTCTAACTGAGCCAGTCAGCGCTGTGCAGCCACACACCACAACGCTGAGTTTCTCACAGACATGTATACTGTATTGTCTGTGGAGTTTCTCATTAAGAGCAAAGATGGTGTCCGAAGCGGAGTTTGCTGCGGCTCTTTCCTCTGTTCTAAATGACTTGAATGTATTTGAAACCACAACGAGTAGAAGCGCTAAAGTGCTTTTTTCTAAAAAAGGATGTTTGCGCCTTCGCCAGAGGCCATCTTTGACTACAGTATTGCGCAGTACAATCGGCATTTCCGTCTTTTTTCTGATTGGTTATTTTTGAGCTGCCTAGTCCCACCCCTCATGTGCCTCTCTGCCTATGAGTAACCAGACTAGTTCTCTGAATTCTGGCAGGTCAGGTTAGGACGATGCCACATTGATGTAGACAGTGGCAGTTTTACCATTAGGCATAGGTCGGCGGCTGCCTGGGGCCCCCTTATGTTGGGGGCCCCCAAGCCCTGACTGCTGGCACCCCTCTGTTAATGCCACAATGGACTATTCCTTTAAGACGCCAATGCACAAACAGGAATTGATTGGTAGTCATTGCACTCCAATCCAGTTGGTGGCAGTAATGCACCAAATTGTTGTTTGCCAAGTGCCATAAGACCACAAATAAGAAGAAGAAGAGAAAGCAGAAAAAGATGAAGAGAGGCGGGAGGGTTCATAACAAACTCAAAGCAGTAGTCAAAACATTAAGCATGAAATGGAGTTATTCTAGTGGCTCCAATAAGAGAAAGAAGCACCATGCTGTAGTTCTTTCTTAAAACACAGAACAGTTTTGTTACCTGTTTTCCCGCTACGTTTCGTCTGCGGCTGCAGACTTCCTCAGGCTGACGCTGATGGTGGCGTCACTTCATTCTCCGTTTATCCGCGGGCAGCAGAGGACGTTGTCGCCCTCTGCTGCCCGCTCTCCCCTTTCCGACGATGCAGTCCCATGCGCGGTCTAACGTGTAAACTCCATCGTCCCTGTTCATGGTCCCACATCCACGTCTCCTTATCTCGATTGCTTCTTTTATCCATCTTTTGTATTTTTGTTGTTCGGCGTTTATGATCCTTGTGTTGTCCCAGTCCATTATATGGTTTTCTCTTGTGCAGTGATCTGTTACGGCTGACTTCTTTAGAAGGCCATCTTTGACTACAGCATCGCGCAGTACAGTCTGCATTTCCGTCGGCAGGAAGCAGAGGGCGACAACGTCCTCTGCTGCCCGCGAATAAAGGAGAAGGAAGTGATGCCACCATCAGCGTCAGCCTGAGGAAGTCTGCAGCCGCAGACGAAACGTAGTGCGGGAAAACAGGTAACAACACTGTACTGTGTTTTAAGAAAGAACAGCATGGAGTTCGAAATACGACACAGCAAGTACACACCTAAGATGTTCAGAGAGAAAGAAGCAGCTTGCTTTTAAAAGGCTTTTATCTTCACTTCCAAAAGTGAATGAATGAATGAATGAATGAATGAATGAATGAATGAATGAATGAATGAATGAATGAATGAATGATCAATTTATTCAGTCAATCATCATAAGATAATGTGTACAATGTCATACAAATAGATACAAATACCATTTCTCACTAACATATGCATTCATTTGTATATGGTGTCCATTTGGTATCTCATGACTGAATAGGTTTAGGCAGAAGCAATAGCTTATATAATTACCTAACCTACTTACAAAACAATTTTTCAATTTCCCGCAATGAACCAACAACCCAAATAAAAATAAAACACAAATCCATCCATCAACATCAAATTAATACTCTTCAAAAATATTTTTATTGATAAGTTTTTTTAAGAACTGAAAGAGAAGTTGCTAATTTTAATTCTATTGTAGCCTCATTCCAAAATTCTACTCCCATTACAGAGATACATCTCCTTTTCATGCCTCTTTTGGCTTTTTGTAGAACAAACATACATACACCTCTTAAATCATATTTACTTTCCCTCTTTGCAAAAAACATTAGTGTATTTTCTGGCAGAGCCGTTAATTTTACTCTAAACATAAATTGCATTATTTTATAATAATATAGATCTTCTAATTTCATAATCTGTGATTTTGAAAACAATGGGTCAGTATGAGCATAATAATTGCTCCTGTTTATAACTCGAATAGATTTCTTTTGTATAATTTTTATTTCATGTGTATATGTTTTAAAAGTTGAACCCCATATTTCTATACAATATGCCATGTATGGTTGTATTAGTGAACAGTATATTAGACGTAAGGCCTTATGGTTTAGTATGTCCTTCAGTTTATATAATAGACCCAAAGATTTGGCAATTTTTCCTTTTATATAATTTAAATGATGCTTCCAAGATAAGTTAGAGTCAATCACAACACCAAGAAATTTTATTTCAGACACTCTTTCAATTTCAGTATCTGAAATTGTTAATT